TATACAATTTAGAATATGTTTACGTAAAAAAAAAAACAGCCGAGACGTACTTATATATTTTAGTCAAATATTATTAACTATTGTCTTCATGAAACAGGTTGTCGTGTTAATTTCATTAATTTGAAATTAATGAATGTCTACCGTATACAAACATATGCTATTTTTGAGTTAAATTTTTCGGTTTTGCATTTTATTTTATTTTAAAATACCTTACAAAGGATTTTGAGTTAGAAAAAATACTTTGACTCATTTAGATTCAATAACTTCAATAAATATAAAGATGCTCATCACTGTAGTCTCCTCTCATGAGAAGAAATTTCTTATTCATATTAAAATAATTATACTATGTGGTTTTTTTTGTGGCTGTCACTTATATTCTCAGCTCTCACTTGACCAATTTTTAATAATACGGCAAATATTCACAACTATTATCTAGCTAAAGATACCCTCAAAAATTAAAGAATTTCCACTTTATTAATTAAAAAGTTACTTATCCCACATTTTCCATGTAAACAATTAATATCATTAATTTCTAATATTTTTTAAAGTATTTATTATCGAATTAGATTTGATATGATAATAGGTTTCAAATATAAAACTAAATAATTTTTCTTTGTAATTTATTTATTTTTTAACTCTATTTGCGTTACCACTTTTACTCAGCTCCCATAACTTTTTTAAAAATGACCGAATCAAAATAATTTTTTTTTATATAGATACGTGAGGTTACATATCATTTTGTATATATTTTTTTTTATAAATCTGATCCTTTACCCACAGGGGGGGGATTCAAATGACATCTTTTTCAACTTAACTTTTGAAAGTGATCCGGAAATACTGACACTTTTATACATATCTTAAATTAAAGCTAATGCAATGTACTTTATTATGGAAAAAAAAAATTTCGGACTCTATTTTTCATGGTGAAAATGACTACCGTATGCTATTTTTGTAGCTTACGGTTTTTGCCATTACCGTAGCCCCCCTCGTTTGAAGAAATTTCTTATTCATAATACATTTTTTTTACTGTGATTTTTTTTTAATGGCTCTCATTTATTTTCTTAGTTCTCACTTGACCAACTTTTATTATCAATACATCAAATGATCACAACTAATACACTCAACTGAATAGATTTTATTAACAACATTTTGATTAGTAATAATATCAAAAATTATTGGTGATGGAAAACATACAGGGTGATTTTTTTATCATAACCCACTCAATTACTTGCAGAATAATAATAATTTAATCTTTTTTTTTTTTAATTATCTTTAGTTACACATTATTCTTCAATTTTTAACTACGTAATACTTTTTAAGTTCATCCCTTATGCCTTGGAAGGGGGTCAACTTTGTTTTTTTAAATGGTAACATATATTTTTAATTTAATAAAATGTTTGAGTTTTTAATTTAATAGTAAATGGCATTTGAATTTTTAATATAACTTAATTCGTTTATTAGATATAATCATTTAAAGTTTCAAATTTTTGAATTAATATACAGGTATAATACACAAGGGATTACAAATATAGGTAGCTAATTGGTTTTTTATAACATTGATATTAGCAGGTACACAGCATTGTTATTATCAATTGTAGCAAGGCAAATTGTTGTGAGTTTATAAATACACTAACTGACAATACAGAAAGTATATCTATTGATAATCATAATTGATAATAAACAATCCGTGACTGAGACAGCAATGTCATAAAAATCCAATTAGCTACCTGTATTTNGTCATAAAAATCCAATTATCTACCTGTATTTGCAATTTCATGTGTATTATACATATAAATTAACTCAAAAATTTGAAACTTTAAATGTTTATATCTAATAAACTAATAAAGTTATATTAAAAATTCAAATGCCATTTACTATTAAATTAAAAACTCAAACATTTTATTAAATTAAAAATATGTGTTACCATTTAAAAAAACAAAGTTGACCCCCTTCCAAGGCATAAGGGATGAACTTAAAAAGTATTACACAGTTAAAAATTCAAGAATAATGTGTAACTAAAGATAATGAAAAAAAAAAATGTTTAAATTATTATTATTCTGCAAGTAATTGAGTGGGTTATGATAAAAAAATCATCCTGTATAATTGCTGATTTTAAAATAGCACAAAAGATTGAATAATAAAAGTATATTTTTGAATCTCATGAACATTTTTTGCAGACCATTTATTCATAATTAACAACAAATTATTATCTAAAAAGTTCTGCGTTAAGCCCTTCAATTTTTTACACCTTTGCCATAAAAGTAATAATTACTTTATTATTTTTTATAAATTCACCGAAAAAATTACAATACTAAATTATTAAATATTAATTTCATACTACGTTCAATTGCTTTTATAGATATTTATTCATAAATTATACTTATAAAGCAACTACTAATTAGGAATAATGATAGAAATAGGATTTAATTTTGCTTTAAGAACCAATTTATTTAAATTAATGATTATCTACAGATTTGCATCGAAGCGTTTTTTATGATAGTGATTCTAATCACTGTCAGATATCATCTATACTGGACCTAACTATACCGCGATCCCACTGTGATGGGTTATAAGAACCCATCACATATGAATATTACTATAAGAGTAATATTCATAATCAGACAATAGTTACTATTTATGTTTATGCTCTTTAAAAGTTAAACATAAATAAATGATTTAACAGATTAACAGATATTACTTAGTTTTAATTTATAATACGCTCCTAAAAAGAGCAATATTCTGTTTAATTATATTTTTAAAGTGTTAAAATTTGGTGTTTTGAATTATTGATATTTGATCATGATAAAAATTTGAAAAAAATGTATAGTTGTTTTGCATTTATACTAAGGCAATAATGTTTTTTAATAATTTCAGTAAAATTTCAATCTTATATGTAAAACCTTATGTAGAAAATTAAAAAAATATTTTAGTGTTATTTCGACCTTTTAGTTTTTTCATTAGTTTTTTTGAGTTAAATATTTATATGATGAATCTATACAAATTATACAGTTAAGTTCTTAATCACTTTTGCATTTTTCACTCCAATGAAATTAAAGTGAAGTGATTTTCATCGTAATCATTGTAAAAATGATCGACCTTCCTGAGCTTATAAAATGGAATAGCATTTTCAGTGGATTAATTAATTCAAGATGAAATTATTCATATATTAAAGGAATTTCGAATAAATAAATAAAAAAACCAAAACGAATAAATATTGTCTTAGAAACAAAATAAGTTAGAGTATATGATTAAAGTTGTAACATTTATAAATTTCAAAAGTTATTATTCATTAACATTGTATAAATACCATTTATCTTATAAAACAAATTGTAATATACGAACGTATTTTTCTTCTTAATAGCATAACTAAACAGCATAAATTATTTATTAAAAAAATAGTATAAAGTATGATAAAAGTGTAACATAACTAGTAAATTTTAATAGTCTTTAATATTTTGAGTTGAAAAAAAAAAAAGGAGAAAAAATTTAAGATTATGAAGGATGTTGAGCAGATAAATAAAATTGTTGAACTTATAAAGAAAACAAATCAACTTTTCTTGCATTTGAAGAGATATAAAACACTTTAATGCATAAAATATATTATGCATAGTAATTTGAAGTGTTCTATTAAAGTCTTGCAGTTTTTTTTTTGACTTACAAAATGTACAATTATTATTCATAATCTGAATATATATTTTTAACAAATCTCTTAAAAAATAATTCTTTTTAAAGAAATAATTTTTTAATGTTCTTTTTTCATTGCTAAAATAATACTCAAAATATAAACTATGCTTATTTATTGAGATTTATGTTTTTATTTATATGACTAGAAATATTTCTAGTTATACTATTTTTTAAATTCTAATTTATAAAAACATAAGAGTGCAAAAATCAAGTTATAAAATTCAGTGATTCATAAATCGTGTGTGTTAACATTAACTAGTAAATATTAAATTAATAATTTCTTAGGTATTAATTAATTTTTTTTTTCTAGTTGTAAATTTTCAATTAAATTTTCAATTAAATCTTTAGTTATTTTTTCTATTATATTACCTGATTGTTTATTTAACAAAAATTAACGTAAGAAAATTTTCTTACAGAATTAATTGTTTTAAATAAATGATTTCATTAAAATGTAAATAAATAGTACCAATTTATTATTATTATTTGAGTAATTCTATCAAAATACTTAGTATACCAGATAGTCCAATAAATAGATTTTTGGATCTCGGCCAATGAAGACCCTATTAAGTGTAAGAGCGATTTTTCTTCTAAAAGGAGTTTCCGTACATACAGGAAATATTACCTGTATTTACGGTAATGGAATAATTATCGGTTCCAGAGTACTTCTGGTTTAAGATATATTTCCTTAGTAGCAAGTAAGCAAAAATAGAAGTCTTATTAACATTGTATTAGCTTATTTGTTAGACTTAACACAACTGAGGTGAAACAAGAACGATTTTTTTTCTAATGTGGCTCGTTTATAAATATAGAATTACTCATAAAATAATTTCAAAGAAACTCTTTTATATATAATATTTTTAAATCAGAATAGCTCTCTAAACTAATATTTGACTGAATTACATGAGTTATGAGTTATAATACAGAATAATATTTGAAAATATTTTGTAATTTATTATATACGCTAATATTTTTTATTTTATTTTAGCATAGCAGTACATTGTTAAATATGGAATGTCAAAAATCTAGAAAATACATTACAAAAATAATCCTTGGTATAATGTGCTATAGGAGTTATAATATATTTTTATTACTCTGATAATTCGGTTTTTTTTTCTTATACATTTTTGAAATTGATATGTTATTGGTCAGTGCATTTATCATTTATTTATTACTTATTTTGTAAATCGATTTGTTCATTTATTGTATATGATTTACGTAATCGACATTTAAAAAAATTATACGTATTATATATCTATAGTTTATAGCGAAAAGTCATTTACTTTTAAGTGATTACTTTTAGTATAAATTGTACTCACTTGAGGAAATGCAAGTGTAGAAGACACAACCCATATTATTATTATATACTTAAATGCCCTGGACAAGTTAGATTCGGTATGCGATATGAATGGATGACAAATAGCTACATATCTTTCAATTGTAAATGCGGTGATGGTTAATACTGTAGCGTTTGTGGAAGTTTCTGCAGCGAATCCTCTTACGATGCAAAACATTTCGCCAAATACATATGGGTATCTAAACAATAAAATATTGACAATTAATTATAATTTATATGAATATGTATATTAAAACCATGACGTCTGAATGTAAAATAATTTGCTAGAAATCTCCGTTTGGGTAATATAGAAAATATAAAAATATTTATTCATTAAGAAATTTTTATTAAAAAAATAAATCAAGTGGTTTTTGATTTTTGTTTAAACAATCATAATCTAATTACATTTAAAATATGGTACTCGGTATATTAGAACTTGTTTAAAAAATATGAGTGCTTTATTTTTATTCATCTAATAACAAACTAAAAAAAAACTTTTATTTCTTTTTCATTCGATTTCATATTACTAGTCATCTCGAGTAAAACTTATTTTTTGTCATTTATTTTAGTATTATTAATCTAAAATATCATTTTGTATTACAGATATTAAATGAACCATACTATTAAATTATCAAATTTAATACAAAATATCTTAAATTTATAATTGAAAAATATTGCTATTAGTTTCTAAATCACTGCTAGTGGTTTTAATATTCTAAGATCTATAAAATTTGTTATTTAGTTTCTTTTCAAAGTTTTGTTAAATACTTATTTGTAGAGAACTTGTGGCATAAGTGTCTAAAAAGGTTAATCATGTTGATTTTTGGGTTTTATAGTGTTGGTTCGATTACCTAGATCCTACAATGATGTAGAAGCATCTAGCCAATTCTCATGTGAATAAGTTCTATTTATTTGGAAAAGAAAGCATTTTAAAATATAAAACATGCCAAAAAATATATGCATGTCTATTAACGCTGGTATAGTTATGTAAATGTTTGTACCTAAATTTTGTATTTTTTTTTCTCACCATTATTAATGCGCATATAAAATTGTTATTGTATTAATCTGAATTGCTAATGTAAAAATGTTGCTCTTTTTTTTAAAACGAGTGATTTTATACTTAATAAGTGTGTAGCTTGTACTCTGGTGTTAAAAATGATAAATTTTGTTTTGAAATAATAATCTTACTAATTTTTATCGAGAATTTTCAATCTCCTACGTCGATAGAATATACTCACATAAATATATTTATACGGTTCAGATAATAAAGTTTAAAAGTGTTTAATGTAATTCGTATATTTTTAAACCTTAAAAATATAATATGCAAAAATTAAAAAAGAACCAATACTTTGTCTTATTATTAATCATTTGCACAACAATTTAGTAACTAACTAAATTGATTTTGAGGCGCGGTGTGACGCAGTGGATCATTCGGTCGCCGCGTTAGGGCTGATGTTCAGCTGCGCTGTTTGCTGTTGGTTTCCCTAATGCGTAACCCATTCGGGAGGTTTAACAGCAATACACATTGGTTCCCCTTTATTGGTTCCTTTAGCCACAATGACGATACATCACGTTGAAAGTCAGTGTGAAAATCCTGTTATATTGTAAAGTAAAGCCGACCACAAATAGTTGGGGTAGAGTCTAAAGAGATGATAATGAATTTAAGTTGATTTGTACATACAGAAGAAATCATGTCTAAATTTTGGTTTTGTTGAATTATGGCTTATTAAAATTATTTTACTAGTAATCATAAACTTCGGGATTTCGAAGTTATATACAAACAGATAATTTTTAAAGAAATATGTATCATAGAAAGAAAAATTGTATTCTACATAATGATTTATTTTATAGTTTCCGGTTTATGTTTGATGTCAGCTAAATTTATTGAGACAGCTAATGAAATAAAATGCATAGGTACTTTTTATAAATAAGTTGACTAAAATATTTAAATAATGCAATGATTTGCTGAAAAATTGTAATTTCATAGATGAATTGATTAAATGATACGAGTATTTACAGAATTAATTATCATTTTGGAGGAAAAAGCAACTTGAAAATACTATAAAAATCCTATTAAAAATATTTTACCATGATTTTTATGAATAAAATTGTGAATACATATGAGAATTATCACGAGATAAAGAGGTATATTCAAAAAAAAAAAAAACATAATAATTTTTTGGATGACTTTTAGTCAGCGGTTTAATTAATATAAATATTTTTTCACCATAAATTTCTAACAACAAATTATTTTATTGGATAAACAACTGTTTGTTTATTTTTCATTGATACATGTTTTAAAACACGTAATAGACAAATGTTATTTTATTTACTGAAGTAGATTTAAATTATGTATTATTATAAATACTTTGACAATGCATGTTAGACAATTCAAGTTTTTTGTTAACTAAACAACAATAAATTATCTTTATGAGAAGATTAATGTAGTATGCTATTTGACAATAAATTTTTGCATAAATTCTTTATTTGTTTATATTCATGCAGATGCCAAATTAAAATGATGGAACGTGGAGATTGCATTTGAATGATAATCCATAAATCATATATTGGATAATTTTCATTAAATCTACGAATAGCAGGTGACGTGCCACGTGGGCTCTTTTTATAATTTTGATTACTATTAACGAATTGACAGATAGTGTTGAGTTGCAATTGAAGATGTGGGATTAATTTTTCTAATGGTATGCACAAAATATAGTAAATTAGCTGACAATTTACAAAAATTTAAGTGGTCGGGTTTTTAAGAATGTGTAAAATAATTTTACAGAGGTTAATTTCACAATACTGGTTTATTGGGTACCAATGTTTGACAACTTTATAAAAGTTGATACATTCGACCTAATTCCCTTTAAATAAAACAAGTTGTACAAATTATGGTTTTAATAGATTTATTGTAAAGAATACTCCTCAAATTTAGTTGTTGTAAAATAAACCGTTAAAAATGCATTTGTCTATACTAGTTTTGATGACCATCTATTTTCATTTTGCAATGAAGGTTTTTTTGTTATTCATTGGATATATTATGTATGAGCTTACGAAAGCGTATTTACTAAAACAGTTCAGAATAAAGCATACGTATGTACGGGATGCCCCACTTAAATTTACTTATTGAATAATTTGGATAATGCGTAGTGTATACAAATATTCATTATTTTATTTTATATTCAAATTTAATTAAGATCTGAATAAAATATATTCACTCGTCAAGTTATAACTTAAAAAAAAACCCAATGGGAAATGAAATGTTTAGTAAGCAGACATGGGTGACTTGGATGATTACTGATTTATTATAATATAGAGAAAAAATTATAAACATGCATATAATATTAAATGTTTTTGCTCTTTTTTAGTTGTTGCATAATGAACTAACCATACTAAAAAATCAGGAATGTAGTCCGGTTAGAAAGGCATTATCATCAATATTTAATACCTTAATTCTCATGAAAAGACGAAGTGAGATGAACCGATGATATTTCATAAACTCATTATATATACTTTAATTTTTAACTCAAATAAATTTCCTATTTTAATATTAAATGTATCAATTGTATATAATTCAATTAGTATTAAATTAAAAAACCATTAATTCCATTCAGACAAATAATGTTTTTAGCTGCTAAAATTTGATTTATCAACGTTTTTACAAATATAAAATCCCAAATTGTATATCATTAACTTTTAAAATTTATTAATTACACACTTTACCAATTAAATATGAAAAACAAAATGTCATTGGAGAATTAAATAAAGTAAATAAAATAAATACATTGAAGTCAAATACCATATTTTCTCCGCTATAGAAATTTATTTTTAAGTTATTTCAGTATGTCACGTATGATAGTTTTCTAAGTTTTCTCGGTCAAGAACTAATGTTTTATTTTTTTTTTTATAATAATATTTGTATCTGAATGAGGATTATGTATCATTTTGATCAATATAGAACCCATTATTATTGTAAGCGTTACTTGGTACAACAATCTAGGGGTTTTAGAAAACGTGATTTGTTTATTTTATTAAAAAATATATAAAATTGTTGGTTTGAACGATTAATGTTGTACACTTAAAATACTTTGCATATAAATTTTAGGTATTTAGAGTAAATAAGCTTATAGATTTAATTTCAAAATACAACTATAAGCTATAAGATTATGACTGTGATCCTTAAATTATTTACCCGTAAAAAATGTATATTCAATTCAATAAAAACAATAATAATAAATTGTTAAGTATTTTTTTCAATTCGCGTATTTTAGAAGAAATCATTAAAAAAAATTTGCCTTTTTCTTTATAGTCTCGAAAATTCATTTGTTAATAAAATAATTTATCATGAAGTACATAAATATAATTATGTAATAATCATCAGTATAAAAAAAAAGGTCATGCAGGAATATTTTATTCAATTCTTATATTTATTTGAAATAAAATTAATAGTTTCTTGAAAAGAATAAAAAAAGTCTTGTACGCTAAATATTTATTAATGGTATAATTAAGAAAACAGTAGTTTTTATAGTATAACGTATAATGTAGATTAAAAGCGCCCAGAAAATTTTTTAAACATTAAAAATAGACAGTGGCGTATTTAAAGGAAGTATAAAGGATTATGATACTCCCTTGAATAATTCCAACTCTTTTTCATTTGTGGAGAAATTAAAAAAATATTTCAACTTTGCAAAGTTACCGAATAAATTGAAATAATTTAAAAATATACATTATATTTTTTTAATTAGATATTATCTTGTTGAACTTAAAAATATTTACAAGAATTGATTTTAAAAAAGTTACCTACTCATATATATAGTGATACACCCCTTAAAAATATACTGTGTACGCCACTGAAGTTGAAAATATATTAAATAGTGTTAAATAATATAATAATATATTATACAGAGTGTTCAGTAAGTAGGGAAACAGGTAAATTGTTACAGACAATGAGAACAATAGAATCCCATTTCCTTACTTACAGAACATTCTGTATAAGGTGTTCAGTAAATATAGAAATGGGCTTCTTTGTTCTCATTTTTTGTAACAATTGACTTGTTTCCTTACTTACTAAACACTCAGTATATCAATAAAACACTATAGATCTTTGTACTCATCATTTCATGTTTGATTACCAGATATTATTAACATTTATAAAATCATTTTAATTTGTTCTAAAAAGAAACTGTCGAACTATAATGTTTAAAAACAAAATTATATGTCAAATTTAAAAAAATAGTGGAGAAACCTAAGAAAAATGTACGAATTTTTTTTTTTAAAAACGAAATTAAAAATAAATACATACTATTACTTAATTTAAGAGTAAAGACCAGTTCATATTGAGTAAGTTTTAGATAAATATCTTATAATCAGGTATTTTTTAATTGAAATAACAAAATAATCACAAAGTTTATTGAATTTAGTAATTTTACAATTCAATATCATAACATTTAAATATAATTAGTAAATAATTTTGTTTTATTAAAAATAATATTTTTTAATAAATAAGACAATTAGAAAAAAATTTTAGAAAAAATTATTAGATTAATTATTCAAACTAAACAAAATAATGTATAAATGTCATTTATTTCAAAATAGTATATAATGTATTCTTTTAGAGCTCTATTGGAATTGTACCCTAAATCAACATTTTTTCATTAAATTACTCGAAAAAAATTGTATGCAAAAATAAAACTGTCATTAATAACAATATGTTAATTTAAAACAATATTCTATATCCATTAAAAAAAAATTAAAGTCTTTTACAATACTAAGAATACCATTTAGTATTCTTAAAGAGTGAATTATAATATAAAAGTATAACAAATTATCATAATCTATACATTGTATTTAATTTTATCTCTATGCATTTTTAACTACTAAAAAACATGTAAAAATGGTCTAAGATTTAATAATCATTATCAACTATCCAACTAAAGATTAGTTATTTCAATATTGGACTCTTACATTATATGGATTTTTACTCCAGTTAACTCAATATTTTTTAAATCAATTTATAAAAAAAAAATCTATTTCTTTCATTATTAAATATACTTACAGAAATATATAAACATTAATATTAATTTAACTCATTAGGAATTATTTTAAGATATATGCGATGTATTTCGTTATTGAGTTAATTAAATCTACACTTACATTTTATAAGACCTTAAATTGCTAAATCATAAATTTATGGTTGGTTAGGTTTACTATAGTTGAATTCAATTGTCTATATAGTAAATGTCTGTTACTTGTGTTTTAATTCATTGTTTACTATATTTGTGCATGTCTTATCAAAAATAACATCTTGAATTTTTAAGTAGAATTTTAATTTTCAATTATGAAATAGGAGTACTACATGCATAATATGAACTTTAATAATTAGTTATATAAAAATTTTTATCTGAAATAGAAGAAATGAATAGCTACTAATGGCTTGTGTATTAATAAAATATCTTATTTACAATAAATTTGACAAATTATATGTCAGCGTTAATTAGAATAATTTTATAATAATTTGTTTGAAACTTAGTACATTTCTTTTATGATTTGGATGTGACAAAAGTTAATTTTGACAATATTTTTTACGGTGCAGACATCAATTCATCTATTAAACATGTTAGATTAATATTTAAATATAAATGTTTGCATATTAGATTATTTTGAGTTTTAATATGCTTTATTTAAAAATTCATTATAAAAAATGTTGTAATAAAAATAGTTACCTGGACCATGTTAAATAGATTTCTTGTGGCAACCCGGACAGCAGAAGTAATAAGTCCGATATTGCTAAACTAAACAAGTAGTAGTTGGTAGCTGTATGCATGTACTTATTTCTTGCAATCACTATACACGTGCTAACGTTGCCCACGAGTCCTGAGGCCAATATGAGAATATATATTAGTGTAACTGGCACAATAACAAGAAGTGGATCTCTAGCTGATTCTGATGAATCCAAATAGTTCCTAAATTAAAAATACTCAATCATTATATGTAAATGAGAAAAATGTTTAATTTGAAAATTTAAGAATTAATATAAAAATTAGTCTATTTAAAAATGACTAGTTTCAAAGATCGCTTACTGTGAAGGTTGGCGGGAATAAGTAAATAATATATAATTAAGATAATTATTTATCAATATATAAATATATACAATGTTTGGGGCATTATTAAAGTTAAGTGTATAGTTATGACCTTTTTCAGTATGTTTATATTAATATTCGTATTTTCAACACTACTATATTTAATGTTTTTATAATTTTACCCGATACTGTCGTTGTAAAATGTATCATTCCAGGAAGTCCCTTCAAAGAGCATACTCAAAAAAGCAAAATGACTTATGCATTATTCAAATCATTTTGCGAAAATCCTGAAAAATAAAATGACTATTTAATAACTTTTATCATTTTGAGAAGAAAAATAAATATTTTATTAGAGGCCCAACTATGACGTATATTTTTCAAGATTTTGATGAAAAACATATCTATTTGCTATTAATTTTGCCAACAATAGTATGTAACAATTAATATTTCTCTCATTCATAACTTATATCTCTTATAGCATCTGGTAGTTTGTTGTTGTCACCCTACCAATAAACTTATTAATTTGGAACCAAAACAATTACAAGTATTAATATACCAAAAACTTTGTTCACGTCTATATCGTAACTATTATAACATTTTTTTGAAAGAAATAAAAAAATGTCTTCATATATATTAATTAACACATAAACTATAATTTATTCTAGAATTTTAGTATAATAATTTTTAATATATAATGTATTACTTTATTGATTAGAGACATTTGATATAAGCCAAATAAGTGTAATGTTAATTGGTTTTATTATTATTATAGCTGTAAAAATGTATCTAATGTGCACTGATAAAATTAAGCCCAATAAAAATGTATGCTAAAAAAATGATTGAAAAAACTTTTAGACAATTCTCAAAGAACATAATGAAGTCGTTTACATTGAGTTTATCCGGTAAGAAAGAAAGAAGGGAAAAAGTTTGTACTAAAATTATTATTGCGCATGTAAGCTTGTACAATGAGGGCATTTTATATAGTTATTTAGAATGCGATATATTAATGTCAAATACGAATAAATGGTTGCTACATTTTTCTTTTATATTTCTTTATGTTTACCTTTTACATTTTTACAAATGATTTGTGTAAAAATGACTTGGCATCTGTGCAATATATTAAGTAATTATCATAGCAAAGTTAAAGTTAGGCTGATGGGAAAATACGAGAAGAATAATGCTTTTTGTACAAAAAATATCATGACTGCATAATTTCTTAATTTTACAACATTAATGAAATTAGAACATGAAAATTTATCTAATATATATATATTTTTTTTTTGTTAGGAAATTAGTTTTTAACACCTAATATAATTACATGCTATGTTATTTATTTTATTTAACCTATTAAAGCCAATCTATGGTTAATCTATTTTTTGGTGTTTAACATTTGCATTAATATCAAAACCAATAATTAGTTGGTCAATAAGATATAAAAAAATCATATTCTGAGGTATAATTACAAATAATTCGAAAATGCAATGAATTTAGTTTAATAAGAAAGACAGTATTAAAGAACGCATATAAAATAATGCATAAGAATAATTAAAATAAAAATGATTAAATGTGTATATATATACACTGTATATATATAAATAAAGTTAATGATGAAATTGTTTTTATCACGCTACTTTGGAAATTTCATTAATTATACTTTGCTTTAATATGAATTTATTAAGGTAAAAAGCATCTATATGAAAATATATTTCTTATCTACAAAAATATTTTAACTTGAATATTTATAATCTCTTCATTTATTTTTATTTTATTTATATTTAGTAACCTTTTGATTCATTAAAATTACAATTGACACTTTGAATACTATTTATCCTATTTTTTTTTTAATATTTAGAGTAAAATAATGTAATTACTTAATAATACCTTCATAAAATGCATGTCATTATTTTGTTATGTTTTATGTAAATCGAATGTATTTTGGATTTTGCACCGTTTCTCAGAATACCATTGTGCTTGTTTTATTACACAGATTTAAGAAACATACATTGTGTTTTCATAGCTCTGTATTATTTGCTTTTTATGGTCCTTATTTACGAATATAATTTATAAAAATCAAAGAATAATGGTTAATCAAGTAATAATACAACAAAAAGCTTTTATAAGTCAGTAAAAATAGCTTATTATATTTTAACAATCATAGTTTTATTATGGGCGAGTATTTATTAAAAATATTTCGGGGCTAAGTATTGCGTGACTATACATCTTTAAAACTAAGTTGAATTTATCGAATTAGATTGGGTTTGGTCTTAAAATAATAAATCCATAAAATAATACTTATTGTTATATTTGAAGATAATCAACTTTGATTTAAAGGTATGTTAATTTTAATTTTTTCTTTTTACTAAGAGTACAATACATTAAAAAGTAGCCAATGTGTAAAAATAAATTCAATCAAAAAAATATATTATTACTTTACAAATTTTATAAAAGATAAAAGTATCGGATTTGTTTTATTTAAATAAAAACGTAAAAAAAAAAATTTTTCCAACTTGATACTGTATAAATATCTGCAATGTTTTCATTTTGTAAAAAAAAACCGCCAGTGAAAGTAATCGGACGTAAAAAAGAAAAATAGTGTGATAGCTTGAAAGACACTTTAAGAAAAAAAGCAATTGGTGTGATATTTCCAAGGCTTTTAATTTTTCGTAAAAAAATCGAATGCCATAAAAGTGATTGACGTGATTTAAAGGAAAACGGCATTCTATTCTTTTGAAGACTGTTTTGGTGCGATAATATAATAATATATTAATACATACGAAAATTCAATACGTCCCAAAGTTTGCTAAGCTCTAAATCTTTAGAGTTTCTCTTTTAATATATTTAATTAAATAACTTTATATCGAAATTGAAAAAATATTGCTTACTTATAAATTTAAGGTATGTAAATTAAAAGCTTAATTTTAGTTAATTATAAGTTAGCAATAATTTCATAATTAACAATGTAACCAAATTTTATTTAGTTTTTAATAACTTTAAAATTTCTCTTATAAATTAGTTGTTATTTATTAGTTATAACAATTTAATAAATAATAGCTGATGTGAATTATAATGTCTTGTACGGTGATTATTTTTTCATTTTTGGTACTATCTTTATTACTAAAAATTAAATTGTTTGAATGTGAATAAATGATAATGGATCAATTAAGAAACAGTTATATTTTACAAACCTATTATTTTTAAGTCAAATACATTTACTGTATGGTAAGTTTTAATGTAAAATATAAAGATTTCATTTAACCACAATGCCCTTGAAATATTTCACTCTTGGTAATATTAGATATAAGTCAAACATAAAAGTTATGTAATTACTATGTAAAATAGATATTATTTCATTTTAATCAACAACTTCAATCACTAAAGAAAAAAATCAAGTTTGTTATTAACATAAGCTTTTTATGCACAAATTAATTGACTACATTATAATTTTATAGCAGTATTTTTTTTGGATTGTGTTAGAATTTAATTACAGAATTTAAAAATATAATATTATAATTTTATTCGTATACATATATACCGAAAAAATGTATAGTTGGAACAACTATTTAATTAGTTATCCCAACTGAAAAACATAGTTGAATCAACTAAAAAAAAAAATGTTAAAGAAAAAATTAAAAAAAATTTTTTTTTTGGTTATCTTTACTTACACATTATTCTTGAATCATTAACTATATGTAATACCTTTAAAGTTTGTCCCTTATGCCTTGTTAGAGTTTTAACTTTGATTTTTAATTGTGAACACATATTTTTAATTAAAAAAAACGTTTGAGTTTTTAATTTAATAGTAAAGGGCATTTGAATTTTTAATAAAACTTTATTTGTATATTAGATATAAAACTTTTAAGTTTCAAATTTTTGAGAAAATATACATGTATAATACACAAGGGATTACAAATATAGGAAGCTAATTGGTTTTTTATGACTTCGATATTCGCAGATACCCAACATTTATTATCAATGGTAGTAAGGCACATTGTTGTGAGTTTATACAGGGTGTTCAGTAAGTAAGGAAACAAGTCAATTGTTACAAACAATGAGAACAATAGAAACCCGTTTCCTGACTTACTGAACACCCTGTATATACACAAGCTGGCAATACAGATAGCACATCTATTGATAGTCATAATTGACAATAAACACTCTGTGACTGTGATAGCGACATCATAAAAGAACAATTAGCTAACTTTATTTTTTTTTCATTCGTGTATTATACATGTATATTGAGTAGTATATATTTTTTTTATTAAATTTCTAGTAATTAGTGGTGTTTTCGGAAAAAAACCTTTTTTTTATTTTAGAATATATGCTGATTTGTGAGCGTATACCTTTCAATATAAAAAGGACCTAAATATTGCTTTTCTAGAGTATACCTTAATTAAAAAAAATAAAATACCCCCAAAGACAACTGTTGGTAATATTTACACCATTGATTATACAGGGTGTTCAGTAAGTCAGGAAACGGGTTTCTATTTTTGGTAACAATTGACCTGTTTCCTTACTTTCTTTCACTCTGTATAGACTATTTTTTAAAATTTGAATGTTATTATTGTAAAATCGTGATAACTAAAACTGTACTTAGTGTCTCAGTTTTATTCTTATGTGTGAATTTAATGAAGAAAGAAAAACTTAAGTGTTGTGCGTGAAAATAAATATCCAACTACGTCAACAACTTAATCTTATTATTTTTCTTAACGTCTCATTTAACTAATTTTAAAACGATATTTCATGTTAGAACCTTTGACGTTGGGATTATGAGCCTATACACGTTATACATTAAAGTTAGGTAAAACATTGTCTCAAAAAAGATTAAAGGGATTCAAAAGAATATAGACTTTACCTTGGGAAATGTTATGGTCCTTGTTTTTATTTACCATGTGATCCCTGTATAATCACGTTTTCTATAATGAAATTTCAACACTTTAAATTCTCCAACACAATATTTAAGGATTATAGGACCTATTGAAAATATTCCTTAAAAAATCACGTAACGACAAAGAATACATTTAAAAATAAATAATATTTTTTATCTTAATATCAGTAAAACGTTGTTTTTCTCATTTTATTTTACTGATTAATTGCGACAATGAAAATGTATGCAATTGTTTTTATACATACTTTATGTAACTTTTATCATCACACATGTTTATTTTGTAGTCATTTAAGTGGTTACATAATTATTGATTCACAAAAAACTTTTTAACTAAGACTACTTTTACAAGGGATACAAATGTACAGTTTGTGCCTACCGAGAATAAATGTTGTAGTCACAATT